AAAAAACAACTGTTACAAGCTTCTATGATAAATAGCATTATAGATTTAGCTGATAAAGAAATACACAATTGGATATATGGAAAAATAATATTTTACCTTACCTGAAGGTGTAGTTTTATCCAAAAAGTACAGAGAGGCCAAGAGCAGCTGCATTCATTTAGGTGATCCTGAAAGAGCGCAAAATTTTCAAAGAAGGCGGACCGTTGTGTAACTCAGTAACTTTGTGTTCTTGTGACAAAGACTGCTTTGAGAGAAAATAATTTAGGTTCACCACACGAATAATAATTGCAGTAATGCTGGAGTGCTACATTTGCGTTGAATGAGATTAAAAATAATGTTTAAGCTTAAAGAGGGGCTTGAATTGATTTCTTTGAGTTTACAAATACTTAAGTGCAAAAATGTACTCCTCCCCAGTGCCCCAACAAACTCATTCATTTTGTGTTCAGAATCAGCCTCTGCTGGTTTTGAATAATTTTAGGTTTACACAAAGAAAATCAAATTAATTTGGTATTTTTTAATTGCATTTGTGAACAACTAACATAATTTGCATGTGTTCTTTGAAAGGAGGACCTGAATCTGTTTTTTGAGTGCAGCTGAACTAAAACTGTTGTGAGCCGCAACCCTTATATCGCCTTTGAGCTTTTGGAGCCTTGACCTGACTTTTAAAAAATAACTGGGAAAAAAAGCTCTATGCTGCTAAAAAAAAGAAAGAAAAATAAATATTTACAAAATTCTGCTTAAATATGTATTTTACCTGTGTGTGGCAGGGCGTGGTCTGCAGCACCGCTGCAGGGGAGGCGGACGCACCTGAGCGGCACCCGCAATCACGCGTCGCCGCCTTAAAGTCTGTGCTCTCTCTGCTGTTGTGTCGGGCTGTGAGCTGAAAAGCTGGTACAGTGGTGATGTGTCAGTCAGGAACAAACGGCTAGAGCCGGATCTTTGACGTGAACGACGCGAGCCGTTTTTTTATTTTTCTTTCTTTCTCTCACCCTCTCTCTCACACACACTTTTTTCACTTCACACGCGAGCCTTGTGTTTTGTGGTGGGAAGAGGGGGGAGGGGCGGTAGTTACACTGGCAGTAGCACAGGAACAGAGCGGGAGGGAGAGAGAGAGAAAGAGAGCACAAACAGACACAGTTGAAAGGTACAAATGTGTTGTCCATGAAACGAATTCAAACGTGGTGCAGATGTGTGTCACAGGTTGATCTGGCTGTAGGCTGTGGCACTTGGCCAGAGTGGTTGACTCGAGTCCATGTTGGTGCACAGAGCAAACTGCTCGCTTTAGTTGTGAAGCAAAAACGCTGAAACCGGAGAAATAAACCGTGCGAGGGGAACGATAACGACGACAAGAGTCTCCCGATCGTTTACTCTTGCTGTCCCGTGAACAACATCGGCGTGGTGTTACTTGTTTGCTGTTTTCGCGATCGCGTCGCGCGTGAGGATATCACCAGGTAAACTCGCCACATTTTTAAACATTTTGTTGTTCAACAGCATCAAGACTGACGGAGTGTGTTTGAGACAACCTCACAAGTGTCACAGGTGACACATTTGGCGTTTTTTTGCTGGTTTGTCGGTAGCAGCTCCTGAAACGCAAGACTGCCACACATCTGTTCGACCAACGCCAGTTGATCTAAACGCCAGTAGATCTGGAACACCGGATTTGGTGTGTGGGAGTAATAGATAAATGAATGTATTTTTTAATTATTTGAACATATATGAGTGCTTGTGTATAAATACACAAACAATACACATATGCTTTCATGCTTTCAATTGTGTAATTTAAGTGATCTAGGTAGCTCTGTTTTGGAAGTTTAGTTCACGCTAGAAATGTGTTTTGGAGTTTGTATGTGCTTTGTCTCTAGGAGCCACCGCATATATTTATATATAAACATATTTAAATAAAATCACTTTTTTTTACATTAGTAATTCCTTTTGTGCATAATTTTATATTATTGTTAATAATAAATTAATTAAAGCAACAAAACAACCTGAAGAGCCGGTTTGGGTCCTCAATGTTTGTAGGAGTTGATTTTGGCTCCGTACTGACAACTTTGGTTCTGTTGACTGAGATAGGTTCTCTTTTAGCGTGTTTTTCGTAAAGTTCATTCGTCTTTGAAAGGGCAGGAGGCGGCGGCACAGACTGCCTAAAGCTGGGGTCATTGCGCATTTTTGCTTCTCTACCGATGAAGGCCACAAATGCAGAGAATGGTGGAAATGACACACGATGGTCCTCTTTGTATTTAGAACCACAGTTCATCCATTTTTCTTGCATAGCATAGGGGAGTTTTTCCACCACTGGATTAATGCCTCTCGCTGTATCGAGGTAGAGTAGACCTGGAATGTAACTTTCACTCTTTGCAGCATCTATCTCTAGGAGCAGGTCCTGTAGTTCTCTCAACAGTTGTGGATCTTTGTATGAGATTTTGGGGAAACAGTCCAATCTGTCGAGCGGTGCGTTCTCTATAGCTTCGGGGGAGCCGTAGCACTCATTGGGATTCATGTTTGGCAAAGTAAAACTCGCACCGCAGCAAGAAATAACAATCCCCAGGCTCGAGCTATGTGCAGCTGTTCTTGCTGTCGAGATTGCTGACATTATCACAGAGGAAATTGATGTTCCCTTCCATTCTACAAGATTTTTCACAGACAGCAGAGTGGTACTTGGATACATACAGAATGAATCCAGACGATTCTGCGTCTACGTATGCAATCGCGTCCAGAGGATTCGAAAATCGTCCAACCCAGAGCAGTGGAACTACGTTCCAACAGAGCTTAACCCGGCCGACATAGCTTCAAGATTAATCCCAGCTAGTGCACTCTCATCAAGCACATGGCTCAAAGGACCAGATTTAAAGACAATGCAGACTGTCTCAGGGTTGGTGGTCGCCTTTCACAAGCCAGCATGGAAAGTGACGAAGCACACCCCATTATCATTCCAGGCAACCACTATTTAACTATTCTACTAATCCGACACTACCACCAACAGGTGCAGCACCAGGGGCGCCATTTCACAGAGGGAGCCATGAGATCGGCTGGCTTCTGGATTGTAGGTGGGAAACGGAGCATCAGCTCAGTCATCCACCACTGTGTAATTTGCCGCGAGCTCAGGTGGAACACAGAAATGCAAAAAATATCAGACTTACCCATCGATTGTGTGACAGTCTGCCCCCCGTTTACTTACGTCGGAGTTGACGTCTTTGGACCGTGGACAATAAGCTCTCGGAGAACAAGAGGAGACCTTGCTAGCAGCAAACGCTGGGCCGTCATCTTCACCTGCTTGGGCATCAGGGCCATTCATGTTGAGGTCATCGAGACGATGGAGTCGTCTAGTTTTATCAATGCTCTGAGACGATTCATCTCTATCCGAGGACCAGTAAAGGTCCGACTGTGGGACCAACTTTCTGGCAGCGTTGCAAGGAGCTCGGAATAACTTCAAAACACTGCGACAACCAGGAAATTCAAGACTTTTTATCCAAGAATGAATGCACATGGATCTTCAACCCTCCTCATAGTTCTCATATGGGAGGAAGTTGGGAGCGCATGATCGGCATCGTGAAGCGCATACTGGACTCTATGCTAACTGTCAACCCAGTTCGCCTGTTGACCCATGAGGTTCTCGTTACCCTTCTAGCAGAGGTAACCACTATTGTAAACTCTCGACCGCTACTACCAGTCTCGTCAGATCCAGATTGCCCCTTTCTTCTTACGCCTGCTACCCTCCTTACGCAGAAAACTGGATTACCACCTACACACCACTTTGGGTTCTCTCCGGGTACTCCGGCTTACTCCCACCGTCCAAAGACATGCAACTTGTGGGGATAGGTTAATTGGATAATCCAAATTGCCACTAGGTGTGAATGTGCGAGTGAATGTGAGTGTGAATGGTTGTCTGTCCCTGTGTGTTGGCCCTGCGACAGACTGGCGACCTGTCCAGGGTGTACCCTGCCTCTCGTCCTATGACAGCTGGGATAGGCTCCAGCGCCCCCCCGCGACCCTGAAAAGGATAAGCGGAAGCGAATGGATGGATGGACACCACTTTGACAATAAAGATTTGTACGGACGCCAATGGAGACAAGTGCAACATCTTTCAAATGTCTTCTGGCACCGTTGGAAAACAGTACCTGCCGACACTCCAAGAGCGAAGAAAATGGCAATCTGTGAGTCAAAATCTTCAAAAGGGAGATCTAGTTCTTCTAAAGGACAGTCGAGCTAAAAGAAACCACTGGCCCATGAGGGTGGTTGTTGAGACCTTTCCTAGCCAAGACGGACATGTCAGAAAGATTGAGGTAAAGGTCACTTCTGGAGCAACATCTAAAACCTTCTTAAGACCAGTGACAGAGACTGTACTCCTGCTGCGAAATACCTGTAGAGACATTGATCCTTAAAGATGGTGATGACATCCAATAGATGTCAGACGGGGAGTGTGCTGGTGTAGTTCTTCTTCGCATCAGCAAGAGTCACTACAGTTCTTTCATGCCAAGATTTGTTTGTTATTAGCTGTAGAGTTAGTAATGCAGCACACTTTGAGAAAAGACTGACTCAGCATGTTCGGATAAACATCTGCATCCATCCTCTTTGTTGTTTTACAGAAAGCATTGCTTTTTCACTCTGTTGATAATTGAAGGCAGCGTCAATAAAAAGGACGATACACCTGTCAGTTGTTGAGGAGTTTATCTATCTGCATAACTGTATCCACTGTAGCAGTGAGGGCAGAATACACAGCGTCTGCGAATCGGGGCTGTGCTAGGTCACTTTCATCTTTATGCAGGACTGTAAGCTGTCCTCTGTGAGGCGTGAGCGGTGTTTGTTTGTAACATAGTTCACAGTGGAGAATAGCCACTGACATAATGTGGATTCGAAGATCCATAACTGGCCTACCTGGGGTTGAAAGTCTTGATAAATGTACGGCAATAAATGTACGGCGTTTCGGCGGGTACACCGGCTTCCGCGAGTGTGACGCTTATTTTGAGCGATGAAAAAATAATAGAATATAATTTTATTTTTATATTTCAATATGAAAATAATCTTCCAATTTCTACAAGTTAAAAAAGAACTAATATAAATAAAATACACTTCAGCTAAATACTTCTAATTTATTTTCCCAAACCACGCGGAGCCGCAGTATAAGGACTAAAGAGCCGTATGCGGCTCCGGAGCCGCAGGTTGCCGACCCCTGACCTATTCAGTGGCAAGGGGGAATGTGCACGGGGCCTTGGAACAGGTAATGCAGCAAGGTGTCACGGAGAACTAGAACGAGAGGAAAACAGAGTTAAGAACGAGGCTGATGGAGTCCAGATGAGAACCAAGTATAAACAGATCTTGTCTTACTTGGCAGGTGGAGGTTTTTAGGCACGAGAGGGGGAAGAGGTCCGGGTGAGGCAGTGCTGTTTCTAGGTGTTACGTGGGTGCTGTGACAGGAGGGCAGGTGAGTGAAAAAGAGAGCTTTTTGCACTGAGCTGTCTCGTACTGACCAGCGTCGGGATGATGGTGAATATGGCCAGCAGAGGAAATGACAGACAGCAGGTTGACTGCAGGTTGAGAGCACAGGATTAATCTCACCATGAAAAAAATCTGTTTTGATGAATACTCAGTGACAACCAGAACTAACTGTAGGTAAGCTGAAGACTTGGCAGAGAGTAGTGGTGAGCGCTGGTCTTAAGTACAGAGGTTTACCTCTGCCTTCATTTGTAGGGTCTCTACTAGTGATGGGCAGATGAAGCTTCATGAAGCACTGAAGCTTTTCATCCAATTGGTTCACTCCAGCGCAAAGCTTCTTGAAGCTTCATTTGCTCTAGCAGGACACCTACTGGACGTAAAAATATTAGTTGGCATGAATTTGAAGAGTGTGGCATTTTGCACACAGCCTGTAAATGTCAACATCAAAAGGAGTGTGTAAAACATGTATATTGTAGTGATGCAGTATACTGTGTATATTTATACTGGCAGTATGGAAAATGATTATTTGGAAATGCTTAAAATGGAAATGATCATTTCCTGTGAGGTGAGGTGTGGTTGGGGTGTGGACAGTAGTTGTGCTTTTGTAACGTTGAGGTATGGACAGCTACACACTGAGGCTTTGAGCCTCAGTCCTGCCTGTTCACATTTTATTCTGTAAAAACTACATTTTCACTGCTTTTATGACCTTTTTAGTGGGGAGAACATAGCTAGGATTTAATGATTTAACAAATCTTTTAAATCCTTTGTCCTCCACAATGCTAAATGGCTGGGAGTCCTCAATCACCATGCTGACCAGGTCTTCATCTATTTGAGATTGTTCTCCTGAGGAAAGACAATAAAGACAAAGCACAAATATAAACATCACACACGTAACTTATTACAGTTGTATAATATTGTATAATATTGGTATATCATTTAGTTTATATTTATCATGGCATTTGATGGCTCACCTGGTCTTGCTCCACAATCGGTGTTCCTCTTATTCTCATGCAAAGCTCTGTAGTGCCTAAGCATGGATGAGGTGTTGTTGTTATATCCCAGCTCCCTGGCACATAGCAAACACTTCACCTTGTACAAAAGTAAAGCCGCTCAACATAAATTGTATTGCACCATCAGTATTATGAAAATACATCTTCTGTAGAAATTTACATACCTTGTTGGGAGGAATGAAATCAAAATGTTCCCACACAGGGGAGGACATCCTCCTCTTCTTAGCTGGCTCCATTCTCTCCTGACTTTCTCTCCTCACTCTCATAAACCTCCAAACTCTCTCTAACTCTCACTAACCGCAACTCTCCATCAAACACCCACATTTTTGAATGAAGTCTGAGGGGTTTATATCTGTCATAGCTCGCAGCAAAGTTCGAACCACTTCATGAACCAGTCACGTGGTACAGTCGGGCAGCGAGGCTTCAGACGTCATCATTTTCAGCTCCTCCCATAAATGAAGCAAGCCTCGATACGCGCATCGCGGAAACGCCCCCTCCATTACTCGACACAAGCTTCGAAGCCTCGATACAGAACGTCCCATCACTAGTCTCTACTGTTGTTTACTGGGTGCAGCTGGGTTGGGAAAGGGTCGCCATGGCCATGAGCCAGGGCCGCTTCTGGGACCATTGTTCTGGCCCCTATTTGTTTGTTACAGGACACCGACGCAAGGGGAGCTGTGGCGGTGGTCGCATGATGGATTCGGGTGCAGAGCGCAAGCTGGGCTGGGATATGATGGGCCCGTGGAAGGACAAGAAGATGGGAGGCTCTTCCTTGTCTGCCGAAGATGGGGCTGGCGTGGACTCTGCTCTAAAGCCGGAATTCCTGGCCTGCTGATAGACCCATAATGAACATGTGGCGTAATTATAGCAGGGGGTTTTTAGTGAATGTAGAAAATGGTAGTTTTACGGGTTTTAGAATTGCTTTATTTCGTTTTAGTAGATTGACAACATTTTATTACGTACATTTTAAGGGTATTTTTAAAATTGTTGTATTTGTGCTCCCTGGCCTAGTAATAAACTGTTTCTGATCAGACCTGCTTTATCTCTGTGCCCGTGG